AGTGAGCAACATTTCAAAAATATTTCAGTTACAAATGAAACAGAATTTTTAGTAATGCATGAAGAATGGATACTTCACTGTCTCACAAAGGATTTCCAGTGAGTCTGAAGGAAATCAGAGATCAGATTCCATCCAAATTCAAGAAGAACTGTATGCCTACAGCACCTAAGCTCTTGTCAGCAATCACAGGTACACACTTCAGCATGTCTTGCATCTATCCTTATGGAAGCGTGCACTAGYTAATCTAGAAATTGTAGCTAATCAAGAAACACCCCCTACTCAATACATTTCATGTCTCCCGAAGATTTCTAACAGGTAGAGACAAAAGAGAAGTAGAGAAGGATGGTCTGCTGCAATGAGAAATGAAGCCTTCAAACAGCTGCCTCATTGAATACAATGCCTTGCAGCTGGGTGAACTGCAGCACAGCTGGATTATTTCTAGAGATATTGTGTATATATTCCCAGTGTACATGTATTTATACATATATAGGCAKAGTACATATGTGTATCTATATGTCCACTAACTAGAAGTAAGTTACTTGAGAAAGTATAAATAAAACAATGAGATGACCTCTTGTCCTCTGGGTGCAAACATTAGGTTGTCAAAGTGTTGCACACAAAGCTGAGWGAATCCAGCTCAGCACAGCCTCTCCTGAGCCACAAGGAACTGGCAGTCACAAATCAGGAAAGGCCAAGCATTAAGAAACTGGGACCCCATTACCTTTGGTTCTTAAGGATTGCACTGCCAAGGAATAACCAGCATTCCAGAACCATACAGCAGGGCCCACCTTCCTAACCCCACAYGAGAATCAATTCTCTAAGTACTCCAAACTGCAGTTCCACTTCCAGTTAACCTAGGCAGATGACACAAATGTTAGCTTTCTCCATACATATCAACCTTCACAGCGTTTCTACAATGGTTTAACACTAAGATATAATGAACTCCAACAATTTACACTGAATGAATTCTTGCTCTAATAATGAGCATATAAACAATATATATCTCTAATTTTTTTATACACATATCTCAATATTCTAAGAGAAGGAAAAAAAACTCCACACTAAACCACTGAAAACAGTATATTCAGGCTTGGCTTGGCTGAAAGCTGTTCCATGACTTGAATAGAAAATACTCACAAACATCCTATTAATGAGACTTTAGAACTGAATAAATGGTGYCCTCACAAGCCCTTGTACCCTTGCCTGCACAAAGCCCAGGTAACTGAGCCACAGCCTCCCAAAGCTGAAACATCAGCACAACTGCTCTGTGCCTACAGCTGATGGTCAAGGACTCATAAGCAGCTTCTGCACTGTTCTGTTAACTGCACTCTTTGTACCTGCTCGCTGACTGCTGGGTACTCCAAGTGCTTGATGCTACTTGCACCTCTCAACACCAGTCTAAGATTTTTAAGAGATCAATTAGGCTTTTCTTCCATTTTACAATTACCTAAATCATACTAATCATACCTCATCTGATGTCTCCAGTGTCATCCACTGTCAGTAGACTGGAGGATTCTCTCAGCAACTTAACATCTTACATTGAACCACTACATTTTGATCTGTCAGAAGAAGCTATTTTGTCATTCAAAATGAGTGAAAACTGTTGTTAAAAATCCAGCAAGGAAAAAAACCACAAATCAATAAATGTAGCAGCTTTGCATTACTCTTCAGTTTCCATCTTAATACCCAAACTGATTAAGCCTAAATCATAAATGCCTCTTCTCTGACAAAGTATTAGAGTTGCAGTGTTTACTAGACACTTGTGGAATATAAATTTCATTTTGTTCACAGATTTTATTTATCACAGCTGTAGCAGGCAGACATCTCCAGCTAGAAATCAGGTTACTAGAATGTATTTTAAAATGGAACTGATTTTACAGCATGTACAGATTTACCTGTACAATGAGTTCCCCTCTGAACACAACACAGGCTTTGGGATGAAGCATTGATATAAGTTCCATTTTACAGAAAAGAGTACCATTGAAATTCAGCACGAAAAACAGTGCTGACCAATTATCCTTCCATTGCTTGGATTCTGATACATTTCAAGAGGCCAGCTCAAACCACCCTCCAGCCTGCCACAAGGCTGGGTGCTKCTATTCCATACCTGCTGATTCCTGGCCTCTTTCACCCCAGCTGACTTTGAATCACTCATCATGGTGCCCATCAGTACTCAGGTTTGACAACAATGATACTGGGGGACACTGGAGACACTTTTTTCCTCCCACAGAAATGCAGCAGTGACATCAGTGCCATTTGACAAACCCCACTTTCAGCAATTTTCGTCCCAGTTTAAATGCAGGCTCCAACCCTGCTCCCTAAGCAATGTGGTGTTCCAGGCCCTGTACAAGTCCTGTCTCTCAGCAGTCAAACAGAAGAACAGAGAGAAGTCACAGGAGGAAGCCAGGCCTGGCAATGGGAAGGAGCCAAAGGAAGCCGTGGCTGCCAGAGCTGCCTGTGCCGAGCTGTGCGCCCGGAGCAGGTGAAGGCGCTGCCCCCGCGCCAGCCCCAGAGCATCCAGCGGGAACGGGGCCTCTCCGTGTGCTCTCGGGGCCTCTCTGTGTGCTCTGCACAGCCCTCCAGCCAGCGCTGCCAGCAACGAGCCATGCAAACAGCTCCCAAGATCTGAGCGTGGCTCTGTTCCTAGAAACTCAGCTGCCTTCATCCAGCACTTGAAGCCAAAGACATCGTGRCTCTACCAAGTGGAACTGTATCGTGTGTACAGACACCACCGATGATCCTTGAGCCACGTCCCCACTCCTACTGCTGCCCCCAGAGCCAGCAGCCAGCCAGCCCTAGCACAAGCCAGAGCTGCACATGTAAAATCACACACACATCCCAACAGCCAGCATTCCTGGTACATAAATGTCCTGCCCTGCAAAAAGTGCAGTCACCTGAAAGGGGAGCTCTGAAACTAGAGCTCATTTACAACAAAAAAGCAAYAAAAACATAGTTTGGAGGGAATGCTTGCTCAAGTATGCATTTTAGAAAATTTCCCATTAAAAATTTGCTATAAAGTAMCCAAACAAACAAAAAAATTAACAGAATTATTTCCATGAAAGATTTTCATTTTCTTTACTTCAAGGGAAGAGGGCAGAGCCTTGATATCTGTTAGGGGTAAATCATGTCTGACTTTCAGTGGACTGGACTTTGATTTGCAAAAAACCCTTTTTTTCCCCAAGAAAATGAAATTAGTCAAACTTTGCGGTACTTCTCTTCTTGTAATTTCCTTCCTTTAGAAGGAAGAAAAAAGCCAAGTCCCCAAAGAATGCATTTTTAGTTCTTTCAAGTTTTATACACTTGGGGAGCAGCCCTAAGGGGTCATCATTCTGGAGAGCAACTGGGCCAAGAAAGCCTAACGTTCCTCCAGGACCCAGCAGAGAGCAGATTCACAGTCCCTGTGCCTGCACAGGTGTAACTCTGCCTGCTGGAACAGAAATCCAGGCTTGGGACTGCTGCTTAAAAAGCTGTTTATTACACATACCTGGCTGACATTTTCAAACAGAGCTCAAAGGAAGAGGGTCTGCAGCTGACCAGGATTTTCTGCAGATGTTGATTTGAAAATACTGCATTTGATGATGTAGTTTGGAAGCACAAGACTATCCAGGTATCTTCCAGAAGATAAAGTATCAAAACACAAGTTCTCCTGGACAGGACAAACTATCTTTAACCTTTTAGAGCATTTCTGACAAAAAAATCTGCAGCTGTCTCCCTTCTCTCAACAAATGCAGCCATTCTTCACTAAGAGAGACTCCTGTAGCCAGATCCCCACAGAGTTACCCTTTTCAATCAATCAATCAATAAGTTTTCTCCTTTCAATAGATTCTTTTCATATAGACATCAAAACGTTATGAATTTTTCATCGCAATTAAAAATTAAAGTTAGCTGAATTTAAGATTTCAAATTAAAGAGTTCAATTATCAGTATGATTAAAACATTTATTATATTAGTAGAGATAAACATCCTTACAGGTTTTATGGTTATGTCACTGTTATATTTTCCCTCTGCCACAAATTGATCCTTCTTAAATCCTGCCCTGAAAATCATCATGTGCTATTGGCTYTCCCACACAAACTAGGTTTTTTTCATTAAATACTCTAAATTCATTTGGTTTACAGTCCCTCTAATATGAGCTTTTTAATAAAAATAAAAGTTTATGTTGGAGCAGCAGCAGATAAAACGGGTTAGAAATGCAGCTGCACCAATCTGAACAAGGGAGAAATAAAAATATGAGTATTTTTTTACAATAACAATAATCACATTTAACTCACCATCAAGACAGTGCTGTAAATTACAGTTTAACTGCCCTTATYGATCCAGTATAAACATTAGAAGCAAGCTGTGCTATGCAGGGGAGGGAAAAAATTATCATGGCATAATCAAGATCCCCTGATTTATCTTTCCTGGCAAAAACAGAGTGAGTCAAAGCTGCTGTGTAGGAAGCAAGGAGATGGGGGTGGGCTGAGCTGGCTCAGCATTGGCTGGCTCTTATCAACTGGGGATTGAACAGAGATGTACCAAAGCTAATACATGGTAAGTCTTCAGGGCCACCTTGTAAAGCCATGCTGTCTGAGAATCTGCCTTCAGCCATGTGCTTGCTGGGGTCCCTGGCTCTTTGCTCTACCTAAATGGATGGTGAGAAATGCCAGTTGTACAGCTCTGAAACTTCCTTTTGGACAACTTCACAAAGCCAAACATGGCTTTAACCAAAAACATTGTAAACATTGAATATTCGATATTGAGATAAGGTGTATCTCTGCCAGTCCTCACCACTCCCCCAGAAGATAAGACTGAAACATGGCTGCACTAGAAACAAACATTATTAGCTCTGAGTGTTAGAGATGAACCTACCTTCATCTGCACTGACTCATGTTCAGCTGTAAAAATAGGCAACATCAGCTGTGGATCAGAGCTGCCTGATGGCTTCCACTGAGTGAAAACCACATCTACCTTTCCAAAACACAATCTGTATAACGCAAAACCAAGTTGTTTTCCCTTACCTTCTGCAAAAGGTTCCCATTCATAAAATCGACCCATAAATGGCTTGTTATTGTATGATGCACATTGTACCTCTCTAATATTTCTGCTGCTTTCGGGACACATCTGTTCAGATAAAAAAAAGTCACATTACAATCAACAGCAAAGTTATTATTGCCTTCCAATTAATTAACTTTAGAAGGTTAGTGAAGGCATTGCAMAATTCTAATCCAGATGAATGATATAAACATCAGGAGATTTCTTTAAAACAGGTAACAAACTGTGCTTTTAAGTAACAGTATCAAAAGTGCCTGTTGAAAAAAAATTAATTTGTGAGGTTAATGGAGCAACAGTTCTATTAAAAAAAAAGTAAAGCTTTTATTAAGTTGTCATTTTCCTCAGCAACAGCACAACACTTCAAGATAAATTCAATATTAGATTAGAATTACTTCCTTTCCACAACAGCTTCACATTTTTCATCATTAACTTTTTGGGCTCAGATTCAACAGAGTTGAACACTTAACATACATGCTTCCACAACTTATTAAAAGTTGACCACAGCAGCTTCTTATTCTCATCCTATGCTTCCATACCATATTTCCACTATTCCTTTTGTACTTCTTCATGCTGCCATCACAGCCACTGCATGACTTTGCGTTTTAACTCTTGTCTTCAGATCCTGAATTCTTCCAACTAAGGAGCTGGAAGAGCTTCTTCTATACAAGCACATGTRCACACACGGGTATTGAGGCAGGGCAGGTTTTACAGCTGGAAGTGACATCCTTCATCAGGTCACCTGCAATGCACACCTTTGGCAGAGCAGCCTTGTTTGCATGTGAAGTAGATTCCAAAAGWAAATACAAGTAAAATAGTTAAATACTTAATGCCTTTGTTCCGCCTGAACCCTCACATCACTGCAGTTACAGCAGAAGAWTACTCTGTGTGTGGGCACATACAAAGGGGAGAAAGACTTCTAGCAAGTAGAGGGGGTTAATTAGAACAATTTCTATGCTTGGAGAAAATAGGCAAGCTTAGGGCACAGATGCATTTTTTTTGCATAATCTTTAGATAATAAAAATAACTACTAAAAACACTATTCAAGAACAGCAGAAAACACAGAAGTACTTGTCTAGAACAACAGAATATTTTTTCTATATGACAGAGATTTCAAGGGAAAGCTAGAGATAATAGTATATTAAAAGAGGATGGCTAAAAAACTGTGTTTTTGAAGGGAGCAGAAGAGAATAACGAGGAACAGCTCTTGCTGCAAGTCAGTTCTCTTATGGCTATGGTAAGAAACATTGGTTGTCTTTGCAGGGGAAGCCAGGCACATCAGARGTCCCCGAGGAGTTCTTGTTTTGTATCTACCATCTCTGTAAAGATTCACTCATAACTGGATCAAAGCGACGTCAAAGTCAAGAGTTTTCAAGTGGGCTATAAACTGTACCAAAGACATGCCTGGGGGAAAGTTCATGGACTACTTTATCTTCTCTTAGAAAGAATCATGGTAACAAATCTTCTAGAATAAACACTGTTTCTGGCCAAGCAGCCATCTGTGCTTCATTCGCCCACCCTTCTGAGATCTCCAAGTACATGCAAATACTGCTTTCCTCAACAAACCCTCTAATAAAAAAAAAAAAACCAAAACCCCAAACAAAAAGCCTTCCCTGAAAACAGGACCATGAACCACCACATTGGAAGGGTGGAGTCAAAAGCCTTTCTAGTGCCAAATGCAGAAAGCAAAGCCATATTCCCACAACTGAAGCACAGATCCTTCCATGTAAGGCACAGCAATGCAGAACAGTTATTCAGCCACAACCACCAACCAAGGTGAGGAAACATATTTTTCATGGAAATCAATTATTGCACACATCCTAAAGGTGAAGGGACAGAACCTGAGCTGGCATAAATGAAGGCCACTGCACTAAATTACAGCAGAGCAAACATCAGTTTGAACCAGCCAAGAAGTCAGCCTGAAGGGTTTCTTTCTGGAACGCTTTTCCCTTTTTTGGCACACATTTTCTACCAGCCTACTGTGAGTTTAGCTGTTTCTTGTTTTTCCTTTTCTGACCCTTGAGCTCATGCTCTTGTGTACCAGTATTTCTGGCTCATAAACCATTTCCTGCACACCCCACTCATACCAACTGCAGGCAATGTATGAGTAAAAATATCAAAATATTCATTGCTGTTGCCAACAAATAGTAACACCCACCCCTTCTAAAATCCTTTTCATATACCTACAATTTCTGTTTTTAAACTTACTGACAGTTGCCCACAAGACAGACCTCAGTGCTTTAAAGCAGGACAAAGGACTGACAAGTACACTAAATTCTGTCTGGATCAAACAAAAATCAGAAGAACAGGCTAACTCAGAACATCCCTGCTACTTTTAAAGCCTCAACTCAGTTGCCCTTCCTTTATTTCATTCATCAAGGTTTAATTACAATGTGAAATTCTGAGTAAAAATTTGAGCAGCCTGGTCCGAAAAAAAATTTTGCTTTTTGTTCTTTATATAGATTATATTAATTTCTATTTTTAAATGTCTTCTAAAATATTCTGTGAATTAACTACAAAGTACAAGTAGGAAAAATTATACCATTCATGAATCAACAAGGGTTAAGAATTATACTCTACATATATCCTAGTTAACATCTACACACCATTTACTAACCCCACCTAAATTATTAATGCACAGCTGAATGAAGTGACAGTTTTATGCTGCCTACAGCTCAGCCCGGCTGAAAATGAAATCCTTGGGTCTTTCTCAGAAGACCTAAGAGTGCCAGGCACTTTCTCTTGGCCTCTCTAGTTTTTAGGACACTTTGTAGGCAGAAAATCACTAAAATGAAATAGCATGACCCTTACTATTAAAAGTGAAGCTTCAGTATAGGGGTTCCCATAGATCCTTTTTTATTTATGCCCTGAGAGCACAACCTATTCTTACACTTTAATTTAATTACTATTTCTGTCATATATAGCTTTACTATAAAACTCCTAAAACACAGCAACAAGCACCTGTGRTCAAAAGATGGCAACCCCAAAGACAGCTCCTATTTCCAGTGTCTAAAGCTGTCCTTTCCAGAGTTCACCATTTGCTTCCCAGCTCATGCTGTGTGATTCTCCCTTGGTTTCCCCTCAGTGACATGAGGGCATTAAAATCGTGCTGCCTGGTAGGGACTTGAAAATAATTTTTTGGTAAACAAAATGTTGACTTTGATTCAATGTTTTGTTAATGACAAATCTGGAATTTCTTTTTTTTTTCCTCAAAAACATTGTCTTTTGATTACTGAGGGAGGTATCTGAAATTTTTCATAGAGGTCTGGATACCGAAAACAGAATGGCCTCTCGAGAAGTTTATGAAATGAGAAATAAAATCTCCTTTTTAAACCAAATATATGGAGGCCAAACAGCAAAAAATATACTTTGCATCTACTAAGATAAAACTCAGATTCCTTTGTGTAGAGGCAGATATAAATTATCTAGAAATATATACTCTCTGCTGGGAGAGGGTTTTTTAAAATTTGATTCTTTCAGGTGTGCACTGTGAAATTAAATACAGCATCTAGAATCCATAATTTTGAATGGTTTTAGATGATGTTTCTCCTACTTAAAATAAGCTGCTTGGATAAAGCAACGATGTAAATTTAGCATGTGGGGTTGCATTCAGCAAAGCACCTTCAAAGTGCAGGACATTTTCACATAAGGTAAGGCATTTCCGASATACCACTGCTGCATTTTCATGCGGCTCTTTCAAGGAGGATTACACCTTGGCCAACTTTTTTTCCTTTCATTATTTCACAATGTGAATAAATTACCAGCAGCAGCAGAGCACTGTGGTGATGAGGGAGGCAGAACTTAAGACAAAACATTTTAGAAGTATCCCTTGGTGTTGTGGGACGTCGGGCTAAACTTCTCAAAGTGAACAGGTTCTGCTGTTGATAGAAACTTTGTACTTTTGAAACCACCGCTTTATTTGTGCCTCAGTTGCTTCCGAAATATGCAGGTATGAAAGCAGTCTGAGAGACAGCAACACACGGTTATTTTCTTTGTCACATACCATTAGAGCTTTCTTGAAAWGAGCTTCTAGTACAGCTAAGACTGTGAAACAAAGAAACCACCCCACTAGCTATTTAGCTTTGGGAAACATTTGAAAAGCACACTTTTTAGCAAATCTTTGACACTTGGTTTAATTAAAGAAGTGTTGGCTACACACCAGAAAATTATCAGTCTGCCAGCAGAYGTGGGCTCACATCTGCCATTATCAAAGCTGTGTCAAAGCTGTGCTAACACATTTCTCAAAATGTGTAAATGGGCCCATTTCAGTCCTGAAACCCCCTCTACAGGCAATTAAAACATTAACTTAGATTTCTGGCAATGTTTCATTCTTATGACCTACAGTAACTGGCAAATGCTTTTTCCAAGGTCCTACAACCCTTCTTGATTCTCCAGGTTCAGACATCATGCACAATTAGTATTTTTTCTGTGTGCAAYAGTACATGTTCAATTAAGTCCAAATAATATAGTTGTTCCCTAGTTTTCATTTCTGTAGTGGTTCTATATAATCATATTAATCCTTTGGCATCCCAAAGGATAAACACATCTTGAAAGAAAAGTAATTTAAATMATTGTTTCTGAAACAGTAATCTGAAGCTTGTTCTTTCATTTGCAGAGCTTCAATGTACTGAGTCTTTCAACACATGTAGTCTATAAATTCGTTCCTTACACGACAATCCACTACATCTGCAGTGAACTTTGAACTTCTGCTCTGAACTGCTGGTGTCTTGTATTTCCCGAAACCTACAGAAGTTCCAAGTGCATAAATGAAAGTGAAATGTGGGGTCCTTTAGATGTTAATTCTATAGCTAAGTTGTTTCCATAGCCAAGGACCACACTTGCCCCATACTTTAAATCAAGGTAACCTAGTTTTGCCCAGCTGAACACACAGTGAAAGAGWGCAACTGATCCATTCAAAATCCTGGAGACTCTCTTATTCTCTCAATAGCTCCAATTTTTTTTAAATGGTAAAAGAACATGAAGACAACTGTCTGCCATCTAAGAAAAAAAAAAAAAAGGAGTATTAAATTTGCCTAGATATCCTGTGACACAAAATACCAGACACAATTGAT